GTATTAAAATCTCATGGCACACTATTCCACAACTGCTAAAAGGACTCTCTCAATACCAGCCTTTTAAACAATCATTCATCAAGAGAAGCTGCAAAAAAAATCTCATGCTAATCAGCTGAATGACTCAAAACAAACTGGGATGAAAACTACTGGACTTCTAAGGCCCACCTGGGCTGCTTCAAAAGACCTTTAACTAGGAGGCTGGTATCCTTCTCTGTGCTCTCCCAGTCTGCAGAAGAATAATGCCACTGCCAAGCGGGAGGAACACACCTAGAGCTGCTCCTAATCTCACCATGAAAATCAAATGGACATGGCACATAAAGGGAGAGCAATGATTTAAATGCAAATGGAAATCATGGCCACTGTTAATAAAACTCTGATCTCCTACTGAATCTGCACACTGGAGAGAGAAGACATTCTTATTCAGGGGATGCAGGAAGTAACTGGATGCAACGGCATTAGTACCTGAAGGACAGCAAAAGACTTTGTTCTTTCTTGAGCAGAATTAAATGAATCTTCTTGTCATCATAGACAAATTGTGAAATATAATGAGGGTCTTAAAAAATTGACATTTTGCATGGGATATTCTGAAGTTCTGGGCCAAAAGAAAGGAAAGGAATTGTACATTTGGCCAAAGAACTGGGCAAACCCCCTACCTCCAGGAGGTTAAGGCACTATGCTAGAGAAGGCAATCTGATATTCAGCTTTCTATGCATCAGGCCATCAATCTGAAATAAAACACTTACTTAAGAAAATGCGCACAGTCAATTAGTTCTGAAAGTTTTTCTGTCTTCTTGTCCCAGATTTCCACAAAATGGCTGTTTTTCTTTGCCAAGTAGATAGACTTGTCTATTGCTAATGAAATAATATTTGCATCACTGTAAGCATTATGACAGAACCTAGAAGAGAGAAGAACTCCAATTAGATACACAGAAAATATCTAGTAGAAAACCTTGACTATTACAAGTGGTAGCTTCCCTCTAACTCTTACAGAATCATTAAGCCTTAAAACCAAACTGAGACTACGATACAACTGAAAGGGTTTGCTATAATCTTCCTACAGTTTGACATAAATTCTCACAGTAATTGAGTTACACTGACGATATCCCTGGAGGTGCATTAATGCCCAAAACCTATTAATAAACCTTTCCTATCTATCTGCTCAAACCACATATGCTCACATCACAGCACCGCAAGCTCTACCTTTCTCCTGGCACTCTTTCAGTGTTTGGAGACACTGGATAGTTCTTACAGGGCCCACAAGACCAAAAGGGGTCACTCAACACAAAGATGACAAAGCCTAAAAATCAGCAGTGGGATTTAGTTCACCTTGCTATGCACTTGTTTCACTTCAGCTAACAGCCTTTTTGACTGTTTTCCTCTATGTATGAATTTGTCTCTCATGCCGGATCTGTGTCTGCACGTATCAAAATATTATTGGCCCTGCAGTTTAACAGCATTAGCTTATTTCACTGACTCTTCAATTCATCCTGAAGAACAGCTCAAAATCACAGGCCCCTGATAGCAGACACTCAGTAACACTGATACGTTCCCTAATGTTACTTGTTTTTGACAGCTTTATTTTCAAAACAGTATACAGTTTTGCCTCCACAAAGCTCAAATTATTCCTGTGACATATTTTGCATCTTGCATATTTGTATCTTGACCTGCATTTTACTGATGATTTAGTTTCTTGCTTTATATTAACACATGATTTTCTAAAGCAAAACAATTATTCCCAGAATAATGATCTCTACTAACATAAAATCAAACATGGTTTTCTCTGCTCAGGAAAAACTCCCCTCAACTTCAGAGCAGGATTTGCCCATGTGAGAACTGTATCAAACACTCCAAAAACTTCAGTCTCTAATTTCTAAATAATGAGAAGTCAGCAATCATACATGATTTAACTATACAGGGCAAAGATATGCACACATATCATGCTGACAAACATGTAAGGACAAATACTACGCTAAGCATGTGTGTATAATTCTAAGTAAAGTAACCACGGCCTGGACAAATGCAATTGGGGGAGAAAAACCTATCAGTTGCATTTATACATTTTCTGAAGAGATATTGACTTCATAAATCTATATAGTAAAAATGCGTATCCCTTGCTTAAAAGCAGCAATGAATACTTTAAACACTACTCACTGGTCTTATTTAATGCACATTGTATTCCATCTGTATTATGGAAGGAAAATAATGTAAACAAGAGAACTCAAAGAACGATCTCTAGAACAAGACATGACATCGAAGTACTGCCAGAAATCTTTAAGGAAACCAACAAAAGAGCCAAGTAATATCACTTAGAAAAAAACCTTACAGTTGACTTGTCTTTGTTTCAATGAGCTTTTGAACAGAGAAGTCACTAGTTAAGGCAATGATCTTTGTTCCACAGCTTCCCCAGATTATATTTTTTTCAGATAAATACGAGGATTCGTTTAAGCACATCAGTGGTGTGCTAACATTTCCTATAGTTAGTATCTTCAAAGGTGTGGCACCCTTACACTGCAAGAAAGAATATACTCTCCATTAGAAACAAGGAATATACAGACACTCAGAAACTGTTAAAACAATGCCACACAGCCTGCTGAATTAAATTTACACAGCCAGATTTTCTAAACCATTATGGCATCTTTCCCAAATGTTAGAGACTGAAAAGCACCATAGTCTCATTGTAGGTGTCCCACAGACACAGCCTGTGTGAGAGAAAACAGGACAGAGCTGGGACTGATATTTTCTGCACCCCCTGGTGCAGTTCAAGAGCTGGATGGAAAGTCACATCCATACCTTGGAGAAATCCCACACTGGCCCACATTCTAGCTCTGCGATGCATTGCAACTCCATAACTGCTCTAAGCTGCCTATGGTCAGGAGCTAACTCTCAGGAACCAGCTGCTATAAACAGGTCGCAGCATTTCTTTATCTGTTCTGTGAGCAGAACTCTGACCTACAGACAATCTAAACAATATTGTCTTTTTGAAGATATCTATTCTATGAAAATTTAGTGTGAATGAAAAGAAAAAGGAGCTATAACAGCAATAAATAAAGGAGATTGAAACCATTAGAATATTCTTAATAACAACCATTAATGTCACTCTCTAGTCAGTTTGCCAGGCCTTTCAAAGTCCTATAATGAGAAATAATTTCCCCCTCTTAACTCTGTTGGTTAAAACAGATATTGTAAAACATGCAGTTTCTCTAAGCCTGCAGTAGAAAATTATTTTTAGTTTTAGAGAAGCAATTAAAAAATAAGCTGCATTAAATAAAGCTACTATTGGTAGCTGCTTTACATATTATTGATAATATTTTGTAGAACAGACAGCAAAGAACAAGCCTACCTTTACTGCTCTGTCTTCAAAAACTGCCAGTCTGCCATCAGCTGTGCCTACCAAGAAGAAATTCTTCTGTTTGCTGAAATAAAATAAAATAATGAATTCTAGAAATGCCTTAATCAGGTAAGGAAAATTTAAATGAGTAGCCTCTGGTATTTCAAGAGTTTCATTAAACGCTAAAAGCAAATACAACCACCTATGGTCAGGAATGTAGTCTCCAGTTACACTGGGTGCAAAATTAAAGTGAAAATACAGGCAAAATAAACAGTTGTCTGAACAAAACTGCATGAGTGTACAGATGGCATTTTCTGAACATCTCTGTTTAGTCATATTTTCAAAATGTAACCCCAAATATTTTAAATTAATTTATACCTTTGTTTTGAAAGAGAATTGCAGTATAAACAAGTGATGGAATCTGACATTTTCTGCAGACGATGCCTTCTTGCTTCATCTTCTGTGTTAAGTGCCCATAGAGAACCAGACTGGGTTCCTGCTACAATCCAGTTTTCTTTCTCAGTAGGAAGGGTCACTAAGGCCAAACTTAAAATTTTACTATCTGCAATATCCTGAGTCAGAAAAAAAAAGAAAAACAAACCTGGTTATGATTTCAGTAAGGGTAGATGCTAGTAAATTGTTGGTAATAAAAATAAAGTACAATCTTCTCAGACCCTGGACAGACCTAAGGCCTAACCTCCCCATTAAGAAATCTAATTCCCTATTAGCAGAATGTATCTTCAGCTGTGCCATCTATCTTCAAAGTGCTGGGAAGGACCCCTCAAACAGTACCCAGGAAAATCTCTATGCTGAAAAAAATATTCTCTCTCTCTATTCTGATGAAAGTCCCAAAGCCATCAGAGTATTAAGCAAATGGAACTACACTGCAATATATGTTCAGTTTAATTCCTAACAATAAAACTATTGGTCTGATACTTCTTTTTCTCATGTTAATTTTAGAAAAATAAGTCATATAATTTATACCAAAGCTACCAATTAAAATATATCACGGTCACAGATGGCAGATGGAAATATAACTTAAACAACTTTGATGATGAGTCACTCTCAGTTCTGGCACACATGTTCATCACAGCATATCAAGCCTGGGTAAAACCTTTTCCCTTTTCTGATGGCACAGGTCTGAGATGCACAAAAAGCAAATGAAAAGAGCTGGAGGGTATCACCCAAAGTGGCAGAAGAAGGTGTCATCCATGGGAAGAGAGGAATCATTAAGAGACTAGCTGGATTGTTAGGGGAGGTAGAGATACGAAGGGTTGTATAACTATTACTCTTTGTTCTAGCCTCTGTGCTAGAAATGGCTTCCATCCGAGTACAAGAAAGGAATCCAGTAGTAGAAAGACAGTATTATGAGAAAGTTCAGGCTGGATGGCAGGGAGAGAGGAAAAAGCAACTGTGTTTCTGCTTCATTTCATGGATATTGATGACTCACTCATGAGCAATCTTTGTTCTCTCAAAGCTTAGCTGTTCAGAAGCAATATCCTGCTGTTAAAATGCATTAATTCTTCAGAAATACATCTGGGTGCTAAAAAAATAGAATAAATGGCACCTTTCCCACGTACCTCACACGTATGTCCATCTGTATTTAGGTTAACAAATGAGAGCTGTGCTTTTTCTGTGTTCCCATTGCCTATCCAGACTCCCGCCTTCTTGCAGCTTTGATTGGCAGCTACCATGCACTCTGCTGTGGATGTGCTGGGTATTGAAACATACCTCATCAAACAGATCAGCTCTGCAGAATTCAAGATCTCATAAACCTACAAAGAAAGCCACAGCATGCACATGGTAATAACAATGGCTTCTAAAGGGATACATAAATAACAAGCAACAGGTAACAATGTTTTATGGAATATGGACATGGTATCTCAGCAGGTCTGCTCATTTGTATTACCACTATTAATGAGCAATTTTTGTCCACTGAGCAACTTTACGTTGACTCTTATTTTTCTGTTAAAATTTCAGGAAGTCAATGGGGTAAAGGCACGTTTGAAAATTTCACCCATTTCAAAGAGCAACGTGATGTGTGATAACAGACAGCAGGTTTCAGATCCACACCGCTGTTCCTCTTCTCACGTGCGTGGAACGGTGTAGGATAACCACACTGATACTATAAAACAAAGTCCTTTTTGCACAGCTCTAGTAAAGACCATGAAGTAATCTGAATCCTGTTTCATTACAATCATCATACAGTAACACCGGGAAAAACAGCAGGCTAGAATAAATGGTTGGTAGATTTGAATGGAACAGTTTATTCTGGATGGCAAGAGCAGGCAATATTCCACGGCTGTTTCAGTTCCAGAAAAGAAGAACAGAAAAAACTTGTGCCTCTTACTAACTTAAATGTCCCACTCTTTTTTTAGAAAGCACAACAACTTCATGGTGTTATCTACCTCAAAAATACAAATAAATACACTAAGTAATACCTGGGAAGATGTTGGTCGTTCCTGAGGGTTTTCCTTCAAACACTTTTTAATTAAATTTTCAACTTTAGGCCAGGGGGCACACCCATATTCTTTGACAGGATCTAAAATGTAAAATTAGATAACTTCTTTAGTTCAGAAATCAGAGTTCTGAATAATTTCTTCTTTTAAAAATTCATCTAACTTCTTACAGAGCTGCACTAAGAAATATCACACTCAGGTAAAATGTCAGCATGAGCAGCTTGGAATTGCTCGTCTGCCATTAAATGCTAGAGTATGAAATGCTAGAGCTAGACTCCTTCTCATTAAAAGCAGAAATGGATTTTGCTTTAACTTTTTTAAAATGTCCCTATACTTGGCACTGAATCACAGATATGTGTGAGTTGTGTTTTGATTAATGTTGACCGTTCGAGGGCACGGCTGCAGGCTTTTCAATTCCTGTGAACGTTTTTATCCACATTTATTCTTCTGTGTTCAGGCAGAGTATATGGAATACAGATGAACTTCCAATAAAATGTATAGCAATTTAGATAAACAACTCCATATAGTATTTATGAGATATGGAAGTTTAAATTCCCACTCAGTGCTTTGAATATGTATCTTACGACTACAGGTGCTGATATCTCTAAGAACAAATTACTCATGAGTAATGCTGCCTGTACTGCTTTTCCTTTTAGTTCATCATAATCCGCAACAGATATTCCAGTCCTGCATTAGACAAAGGTAACATTAATGATAAATACCTGCAAATGAACATACCCTGTTCAGCAAATGATAGGCACTCTTTACTTCTGAGCTCAGCCAGCCCCTTTTTTGGTGGAAATAGATAAATGATGAGTATGTGCACAGATGGAACTGTACTATCTCCAGAAACTAATGCTTCTGATTATTTCATAGGGCTTATAATACAGAAAGCAGCCAAATGGACAGCTGCACTCAAGAGATACTTAGTCATCAGTTCTTGGGATGGCGTCTTTAGGGAGGGGCTTTAAACCATCTGAGCTGTGAATTGAACTATTCTCTTTAAGGAGTAGAAAATGCATGAACTCTGTCTCTCCTAATGGAGAAGCCATACCAGATTAAATGGTACAGTTGCTGCCCTTTCCTAGATGGAGTGACTTTTCAGTCTTAAAGAATGTTTCAGGAGTATATCCACTATTGCAGGGCAATAAATAGGAACGCCACACATTAAGCCTGTAGTACTATAAAACTTCAACAGCTGTTTACACAGAAGTTGCCAAATACTGAGTTACACTGACCAGCTGACTTCATCACGTCCAGTATCAGAGCCTGTTTAATCTTCCTTCTAGCAGCCAAAAATTACATATTGTAATGCAGATGGAATATGAACAATGTTAGGTAGCTGGGCAGGGACTTCATGCTCTTGATAAGTTAAAAGGGAATTCCTATTTAAAACCTTTAGTGGTGGCTTTTTTTTTTTAAAAAAATAAGATTTCAATGTTTTTTTAAGATATGCATCTTCTTTATAATGGATTTTTTAACATAATGTATCACGATCAAAGAACAGAAGTGGAATTGTGTTTATCTTAGTACATGATGTGCATTATCACAGTAATATGTAAAGGTCAAGTCCAGACACGGTATTAGAAGGTACCTTCAGCAACATCCATTTTAGCTAGGTCTGGATAAGGTCCCAAGTATACAAACCCTCTATTTCTTTAAAAAGTAAACCAGCTAGACCCCTTGAAATGGTAATGAAATTATAACCAATGTGATGTTGAATAGATGTCTGTTTCTCACTATTTCCAGACTGTGTAAAATTAGGAGAAGCTTCTAAAAATTGCTATTATTTAGTCTCCTCCTCTGATCACTGTCAGATACAACATAAAAGATGAGAGGTGTTATTTTTGGAGGAGGCAGGACAAGTGGTCCGCTGTCATGTTAAAAATTTTAAAAAAAGGCATACCTGGTAACTTTCCTTGTATTGCTAATTCATCAAATTCATTTGGAAACTTTAAGCCTTCCATTATTCTACCTCCTCCTGTTAAAATGTCATAGAGCAGCAAGCCAAATGAATAAACATCAGCTTGCTGATTGTAAATAACATTTCCTCTGGCAACCTCCGGTGCTCGAAATCCTGCAAATAAATCATTCATTAATAGTTATGATTCACATCAAGCTGAAGCCATCTTTATCCTTTTAAGAACAAACACTTTTTGATGAAAATGTCACAGGAAGTAAACCAAAAATGGCACACTATTTCTGGGCTGGCAGTAGTTTGCATGCGGCAGACCTCCAAAAATATCAGCAATCAGTATAAAGGAAGGGGTCAGTACCTCAGTTACAGAGCTCCTGCACCATCACACATAAAATAATTCATTTAGCAATGAATATTGAAAATGAAGAGCAAGTCTGTGGTCTTTAGTGAAGGCCTAACATTTAGCACTTGAAGTCACACCCTCATGCACGGTTTCCAGGACCTAAAGGCACTTTTCAATGTTGTTGAATTGTTCAGTCTCTAAAGTCTCTAAAGTCAGGGAACAATGCTGGTATTTATTTCCTTTTAAAAAATTTAAGACCTACCTATGCATTACTGAAAATTAAAACAACAAATAATTTTGGTGGTATAATTTCAATATCACAATAACCATACTGAAACAAGACAGAAAACCCCCATAATTAATACATGTAATTTAATTTGCTGCCTTTTGACAGAGGACGCCTTGATTCTAAAGACTATATTCATTGATTCTTCAAAAACGGGTTAAAACACGAATAGGAAGAAAGGCCCAGAGGTATAAATCTGGCATCATAACTTGTAATACGATTAGGACTACATTTTGTGATTTTGACTATAGATTTGAGTTACTTCTTATAGACCAAATAAAAACCATATTAGCTATTTTTTGACATAACGCACTGTAAATGAAAGCATTTTTCCATACCTGGCGTGCCTTCAGAGGTTTTTATTCCCATTCGGCAACAATACTGGGCAATGCCATAGTCAGCTATTTTTGCAATAACAGCTGAATTGGGATATAGGGTAAAGAGTAACACATTGTGAGGCTTTAAATCACGGTAGATGATCATTGCTGAATGCAGGTACCTGTTAATCAAAAAAAGTATTTATTGAAAGCATTCAGAATTCAAGGATGCATCTGTACACACACCCACTGAATGCAGGATTCCCACAACAGTAAATCGTGCTTTCAAATGTTAAATGTGTTAAAAAACGTCAAACGTCATCAACATGACATCGTCTTACCGGATATTGACTTTAGAATTGTTCTGAAATAGTATATACTGGTACATAAACATTGTGGTATTTTAGTACCAAGTCTTACTGGAAGTGTCATTGGCAGTTCGAGAACTGAATCTGAGAAGTTTAAGCTTCATTGGTTCCTTTGCAGGTTTTGTGGTTTTACAGTCACACTTCAATAGCTCCTGAGGACATTCATGGACTTTCAGAACTTTAAAAATGCACTAAATTAATTCCTTTGACATTTTAATAAGAAATCAACAGCCACATAGAAATTCTACCCAGAGCTCTCACTATTTCTCTACTTATATGAGCGCCACTTGTTAGCAGAAAAAGGTAACAAAAATTTGTGTTATATATCAGCCAATCAATCATAAAAATACAAGCATTTGTTTGACTCGGGGAATACTCTGCTTGAGGTATATGAAAAGATAAGCTTTTCATTTGCGGTATATACTACTTGCAGCTGTATCCTGTTTTTACAGCAACGCAGAAGTCACATTTACCTTAAGCCATCAGCTACATGTAAAGCTATCCTGTGCTGAAGTGTTCTAGTTAAACTTGCATTGTCTTGTTGAAGCAAACGATCGAGAGATCCTTTAAGGGCTAATTCCATCACCAGCATCCGGGGACGGATTGCAGCAGCCAGCAGAGACACTAAACTGGGGTGATGGAGGTGACAAAGCACTGCAAGCTCCTGTAAATTGGAAAATCAGATTAAATACTGCAAATAGCATAACCTCTGTAGCTTTGAAGTAAACTCAGAAATGTTTTGGAGTCTTGCACTTTACTGAAGCTTTTTAAGGTCTTCAGTAGGTTTGGTATTCCAAGAGCAGCACTACAAAAAAAAAAAAAAAACAACAAAAAAAGGCAGTATTTCTTACTTGTCTCAGGAGCCGGAGGGAAGTATGTTTATTGAAAATCTTTACGGCAACTTCTTCGCCACCATAAGATGCACGGTACACAGATCCAAACCCACCATCACCTTTTCAAAGATAAAATTGAAAAGAATATTAAAACCAAAGGGATATCAACCATTTCTCAAAAAAACCCCAAAAAACTAGCTGAAACGTGTGGATCATCTACTGTGTTAAGCTTCATGATCAGTAATCTAAATACATAAAAACCAGCGTCCTAGCGTACAAGTTAATGGAAAATCAAACCTCAATAACTTGACATTTAGAATACCTTAAAAAATACATTTCTACAGAAAAGAATTCTCTAAAATGTTTTCCATACATTGCAGAACTGACTCCAAAAGATTTGTTTACATGAGCTCTGTAAAAAAAAACCCTACCAAATAATGCTTACCCAAGAGAAATTCAGGAGCTTCGTCAAATTCCAGATCATCATTGTTCAACATAATATTTCTTGGCAAATCAGCCAGTATCAGATCAGGAGCAATCTGAGCTATTGGAATGGTATGTCTCGGTTGATCTGGATTTACCAAAAGGTCACCTAAGAAAAATAAATGAGACCAAAAAAAGGGTAGTCATCATTCAAAAGGCACTGAAAGCTACGTGGATCTCTTTGAGTACATATGATCAAAGTACCTAAAATTTAATTCTCATGTGTGTGTAATATATATATATAAAGCGCATGCGCACACACACAAACATTTATATGTATATATACGAAACAGAACGCTAATTAAGTTTGCCATTCTACTTAATGTATCTTACATGTTTAAGTATTTTCAAGGTTCTGTATATGTACCAATCAAAAATGATAGCAACTGTTGCTATGTAACAACACCAAACTAACCAAGAGATTATTTTTCTGTCTATAAAAAGAAAGAATTCTCTTAGTATGTAGAATGTCATCATGAATAATGCTTTTAAAATTACTGGTGTACATGGTCCAACTGAAAGATCTAGTATCAGCTTTACTATGTGCTGGATTCAATTCCATGAATGAAGTCGCATTATCGGTATCATGCAAAATGATTCTTTCCATTGTTGCCACGTATACACGAATATACAGAGTAGCAGCAATCTGTCCCATATTCTACACTTACACTGATGGCTCTTACATAAAAAAAGAACAAGTTGCTTTTGACTCATACCATAATTATTTCTTACAGAAATGAAACATTTTTAAATAACGTGAAGTACCCAAATGTTATAAAGGGGATGTTCTATAATATTTATCTACATACAGGTATACCTCTATATACCTCAAATGGCACAAACATATATATATACCTTCTTCAGCTTTTTTAAGTAAGTCATCAAGTAGTATTTTTTGGTGCTCTTCACCATCCTGAAAGCTGTACAGAGCCCATTTCTTCAACAGTGTTTCCCCTTCACCACATACATCTATATCCAGCAAACCAGGAAACCATTCTTCCATAAGAGAATCTATGTGATCCACAACTTGCCCCAAAAGGATGCATCCTTTAAGAAACCAAAGGAGGGAAATTACAGCCTCCATCTGCCGCACTTGTAATTACAAAACTAAATTCTACGTTCCAAAGGCAAAAGCACAACAAACCAAAATGCCAAGCTGCAATCAAACCGGAGCAAAAATCAGGCTCGGGAATAATTAACCTTTTCTGCAAGAAGGTGATGTGATTTTCAAAAAACTGTCTGGGTTGTTGTCAAATACTGCTGATTCCACTAGACAATAAGCTTCAGGAGACCAGTTCAAGTAGATGCCTTGTCTCCAATACATTCTATTAGGACGAAGTGCTCGCTCTAGAAAATACAAAATTAGGTTAAAAATCTGTTCTCCAATAAGAATGTAATATTTTAAAATACGCAGAATAATTAATGGTACTTCAAATATTTAATTATGACTGTAGGTTTATGCCTACCCAAATAACAAACAGAATAAAGGCTGCAACTTTGCAGACAGAATAGCCCCACAAAAGCTGAATGTACAACTAGTGTTCAGTTCTATAAGGCATATCCACAAACTAAACATTTAATTAAGATAGTAAATCATGTAGCAGGTGATGCATGTAGGGATTACAGAAATGCTGAGGTACATTCAGGTTCAAATACAGAATATCTTAGGCAACATATGAAAAAAAGCCAGTGATTTAAATTTTCCCTCTATTGCACACACGTGAAATAGATGCAACTGGAATTCTATGCTCAGGAGGAAACTGAATGCCAGGAGAGCAGCAGTTATAAATCATATTCGTAGACCATTAGAAATGCATATTTTTCATATTTTACTTGTCAGTAGTATTCATAAATCACACATTAAAAAACCCAAGATGAATGAAATTCCCAAGTTCAGCAGAAAAATCTCATGCTAAAGTACAGTATTAGAAAAAAATTAAAGACACCCCCCTCTTCTGATAAAAGCAAAGTTTTTAGACTTTCATAAAGGGAGAATTGATGAACGTGAAGAAAAGCAATTTGGTTCCTTTCCTGTATTCCTCATAGAGGCAAATGGCAATATTGTATAAATAGAAGGATTTCCCCCCTCTCTAGCATGTGAAGGAGAGAAATAGACTGCTTATACCTTCACTTTCTTTTGCACATCACTGTAAAGTTCAGGCACAATCTGGATATTTCAAAGTTACAAAAAAGACCACTGTTGTTTATTTCACATTTGTGAAGTGTCCAGAAATTAGCTAAAGCAAAACAATATTGGGGATTAGAGCTTTAACGTGCAGGTGTTGGCATTCAAAGCAAACATGCACACTATTGCTTTTGAAGATAAAGATTTGTACCTCTTCCTGACAGCATGTAAGGTGATATTTCAAGCAACCTGTTGATCAACCTGGACCAAAATCCCATAGGAAAGTACGGCATCTCATAAAGCCTGATGATAATTTCTGAATTTTCACAGTGGGGAAGCTCTATAACAGGTCTGTGATCAGACAAACTGAAAGAAAAAAAATTTAGACAGTATTTAATGATGTACTTTATCCAAATTGACTGATGACATACATTATTTATTATGTAAAATGTATTATTTATTAATGAATGAATGATTCAAATTATCAGGGAGCAGACAGTGTATATGCTTATTCTGCTTGCTTGTGCTAAAGTGAAATTCTGCTGTAATTTAAACCCAACAGAACCTCACTAACAATCATTAGTCATTGTAAACGTGAGAAAAACCTGAGACACATACAAGGCAGGTAAGACATTCAGATGAAATATCCCAGGACTTGAAGAACGTAGAAACTCTAATCAATGCAACCATGCACCACTCTCTCCATTAAGCAAAATAAGCATTATTAAACACATTAGGGAAATCTGTAACTGAGGCAGAGAAACTGTGTTATACCTGCTTCAGATAAAGCAAAAAAGACTGCATTCAAATTCTAAACACTTTTTTGTCACCACATTTAATAACTAGACTGTTTGGAAGAAATACTGTCTCTCAGTAACTTGACTGATTCTTGTTCCAAGCGAATAGGCTATAGAAATTCATGGTTATCTATTATATTGCAATAAATATCTGTAATGATGGCACACTGTAATGTAAAGCTAAATTATAACCTTCCTGCTGTAGTTTCAAAGCATGGTCAACTGTAAAAGAAATATTATCCTCATAAATCATTTTATCATTTATAAATTCCATTTACCCAACACGCTAATATGATGTAAGCTTTATCTGCTACAAGATCAGCTCAACATGTCTGTGAAAGCATTTACTAAAATGTATATACTAAGTATATATCATGCTTTCATATACCAAATTGCTTTGATGGTCAGTTAAACTAGCTAGCCTGATAGGAGGTTCCTGTTTTGATCGATCTCTATGGCTCTCATTTGTGGGTTTAGCCCTTTGCTTACCTGCTTGGGATTAGTAGTTGATCCTCTCCTAACGGCAAAGCAATCTGAAACTTTTCCAGAAGCTTAAAGTATTGTGACATGTAAATCTTAGGAAACTTGCTCTTCTTTAAAAGGAATTTTTCCACATCTGAACGCTTTATAATTCCCTTAGGATATTTAGAAAAGCCTTCCACTTTCACCATCAGAATCTTTCAAAAAAAGTAAAACAATTTCAGGTGTACAGTCATCATTAGATTGCATTTTCCTGACAAACTTTGTTCTCTGAAATATTTGGTAGCCTATTATTTAGGGGGGAAAATGGATTCCATTTCACAGTGAAACCAAACATTTCTATAATGCTAGCCAGCAAGAAGACAGCAGTGAAAAAATTTAACCTGTCCAAGCCACTAGTGTGTTACTATTCTTCAGTAGCTTTCACTGTTCCATGTTACATGGAAATTTATTCTACAAGTTAATTAGTGAAAGTGTTCTCTGAAAGGAGCCTATGTACAGTAATTTTTCATATCAGCACTTCACACAGGCATACTGGTACTGACAACATGATCTCAGTCTTTTCTCACTCTTAATCCCACCATCTTTAAGGGCTCAAACTTAGATTTTTGCCATCCCATTTCCTGCAATGAATGGAAGATAAAGTTTGAGGTTAGGAAACCTGAATACATAAAAAAAAAGTTCAGAGTGTTTCTAGATCAACATATCAATGATGGTTTCACTTAAGCAGTCAGTCTTCTACTCTCCTGCCCCAACATGTGAATCCCTGTCACTCACTTTCCTCTGCCATCAGTACCAAGCACACAATGACCCTTCTTCCCCCATTCTTACTACTTTAATCTGAAGTTCCAGCTTTCACTTCAACCTGTCACAACATGTTGCAGGATTACTTTGCATCCCTGGGGTTTTTCTATTCTACATGTATTTTTGTGTCTGGTGTAGTTTAAATGATATTGGACATTACTGCTTAAGAACATAGAACTACTGAGACAGAAAGTTGTTTAGAAAACAAAGAAAACAGAAAGAGCCAGGTAAACCAGCCTGGGCAGTGAGAAAATTCTAGATCATGAAACAGGAAAGAAATGGTGAAGAAGAATCACTAATAAGTTACGGCGGTTGCAGAGAGGGCAAAAAGTTTCATGAATGTAGATTAAAAAAGGAATTGGAGTCTAACCTGTGCCATGATTTTACATAGCCACTTAGGATCTACAAAATACAGATCTCTTAGCTGTAGTGCTGGGTCTTGAAAATGAAGGAGTACACCTGTGCAAAGAATGTTGTAATTAGCAATGCATTTCTGAAGCTCCATATTAAGAATAATAAACCCCCCCAGTCTGAGCAGTTTTTCTTACATTAGTTGACATAAGCAATTTGAATAAGAAATACAGCTATTGAATTTATGTCAATAGGACAGTAGAATAAAATCATGGTTTGTTCAGCTTTATTTTCAGATGTTTTGTTAGATTTGTAATCTGACTTGGGTTTTTGCCAAGAAGCTATGCTCTGTGTGGTTTATTATTTAATCTTATGGAGTCTGTATGGCACTAAGATAAGCTGTTACATATATTCACCTAACCGCTATTCAAGCTATTATAGCAATTGCATCTTTCTTCAGAGACAGTGCTGTCAAACCAGCAGGTATGATGTTATCAAGGGGTAAGACGTATAAATTGTTACAGTAGTGATCCTTTATACCATAGAATTCCTTTATGACCCAATAACCTGAATTATCAAACTAACGTTACCGAAGCTTAAGCACTTTGTGCCAACCTTGTGCGAGATTTGAAAATGCATACAAGTCTGTCTGCTGCAGATCTGCAACAAAGCACTAACAAATATACATTGAAGGTAATATTTTACCTGATTCATTCAGAAAGTGAATTGCGTGAGGGAGTTCATTTTCATCCAGTTGTAACTGGCTTTCTCGTACCAGTTCCAGTAAGCGTTTCTGATCAATCACAGGAAATTCAACCGGGACATTTTCACGTTCCAGCAAAATTCTCTTCTCCAGCTCCAGGTAGCTGTCAGGAATTAGCTGACCAACCACTGGTTGATCTCTGATCTGTATAATTAAGAATAATAATCTTAAACGTATTAATTTATTCATGTGAAATGTAGACAATAAAACTAAGATGCGACTCAACAGTAGCAGCAAGAAGGAACAAGAACACTCATTTATTGACTAACATAGCTTCTGAAAGGCAGATGTAACTAATTCTTCTTTCAGAATTATAATATGAATGTCTTTCTATAGATGAATACTCAAAGAAGAAAATATTTCCATATTACATGTACATAAAATAAGGGATGTCTGAGAAGTTCAAAGAGAAGCTTTGATTTGAAGTAAAAGGCAAATATTCACTGTATGAACAGATGATGTCATACGTCTCAGGTTAACACAAGACAATAGGCAACTGAATAAAAAAAATATACCTCACATAATCCGTAATATCTCTAGATATGTCTTTAGATAAACTGGGAGGAAAAGGCCAGTAGCTCAATTCAAAGTCTCCACTGCTGATAGTCAGTGGACAAGAGGAGAGGAAGAAATAAATTTGGCCAGGTTAGTGACACTTAAGGGAAACACAGTCGGATGCTCTGCCTCTGTTCCCTGGGGCTGAGTTCCTTCCTGGAAACATCCTTTGACCTTTGGTATTAGCTAGCACCCGACCAGGTTTTTCATTCTCTATGGGTGCTGACATAGTCATTATTTTTGAGGAAATGGGAAACAATTTTCCCAACATTTCCAAATTGGCTTCTTAGTGTGTAATTTTCCTCTCAAAAAAGTTAAACACCAAACAACAAGTTCTGCCATTGACTTCAGTAGCACAGGACATCACCTTTTCTCTTTAACATGTTATGACACTATACAGGCGTGACGGATGCACTCCTGTTTGAAATAACTGAACTTTGGTCCGGGCAGATGCTCAGAAAGTAAGCCTAACTGAAGTCAATCCTATTGTGTGAGGCTATCGGTGAGAACATGGCACCAAAACAAAAAAAAAACCAGTTTGACTGGAGACTGGGCTGGTAAGTGGCTGAAACTGCATTAACACAGCAGAAAATCTAACTACAAACCAACGACTATAAATATCTGCAGCCATCCAGGTCCTCCATAGCAGCTGGCTGCATGGTGGGGATCTCCCTTTGAGTAGGGACGCCTCTCAAGGTTACCCCTTGAGGCTGAGAGATCCCTTACCTGACACCAGACATTGATGGGTTGGTAAGTGACATTTTTTGCATGCAACATTTAAGATAATGTATAATAAGCTTATATGATAATTTTTGTATCCCATACTAACTTTAAGTGTAGTAAATAGTATTGACCACCAATCTACCTGTACTTATTAAATATTTAGCATATCTAAATTTATGGATTAGAACTCCATAAACTAACTACTAAATCAGGTCTGTTTGTTTGAGTGATCTGTGACTCTTCTCCTAAGATAACATGATTGATAATGTGCATTCTTTTTGTTACAGATTGGATCTTGTCTTCCTGTAAGCTCCATGCCTGGGCTAGTCTCCTCATACTGGTCATTCTCACTTAGCTGGCTAAGGAGACAGCATGGAGTGAGTGGTAGGGATGACTTTGGAGACCACAGAACTACCAGTGCAGATTCTCCAGTTTAGGAGGATCACTCAGTCTTAGTGGTCTTCTTTTCTTGCTTTAATTCACTATTCCTCTTTCTAGGAATATTTTCATACTATGTAAAATGAAATCAGTAAATGGAGAATGAGTTGGCGTTCAGAAATCACAAAATTGTATCTCCTGGTCCCCTGAAATCTCGCAATAATTATTGTTGCAATTAAATGTTGCCATCCAACAAAAAACAGCTTTTGATCAGATTTCTTTGTAAGAAAAAGTTGGTCTATTTTTAATTAAATATTCTATTTATAGCCTTAATGTTTGAAAACAAGCCTTAGCTGAGATTTTTAATACTTTGATTTTTTTTGGTAGAAAATGAAAACAAAACTGGTGATTCTCGTTCATTATTTTGCTGTGTGTAGTATTTTATAGAAGGTAAGATGAGTTTGCTATCACACTAAAAATGTATTTAATTGCGTGTTTAATTAATGTTTAAAAATGTATTTATTCAACTAAAACTAGAACGTTTTCAACATTACAAACTGTATGCAGCTGACCTTGAAGTGAAGACTCTCCTTTATTATGATTTTCCGAAGTCTGATAATGGAATCAGATTCTTCTGTAGCATTCACAAAGTGATAATCTTGGATTGCTGGGAAGCCTCGTTTATTCAACAGCTCTCTAGTAATTTTACTCATGCAGGCCTCACGTTGCATTTCACCAGAAACATCTAAATGAGTGCCAACAAGAATGACGGGGGATGTTGAAGCTCGAGCCTGTTAGTAAGAGCCATATAGTCAATTAACTCAATAGTGAATGTTGATGTTATTGTTTTATATCCACATAAAATGTGATCACTTTAGTCAAAATAATCTACACAATGAAAAAAGCAACTGTTTATCCCTCTTTAAACATATCTCTCTTAAATAAGTTTGAAATCTGAAATACTATTTCATGTCTTTATTCAGAGTAAGTTTAAACCGCAATGCCATGTAACAGCCTTGACTGGATAAGGCAGTAAAGATGCATCGGCCTATAAACACAAAACGATATTTTTTAAAATAGAGAGAGCAGTCTATTTTGAAATACAAATATTAAAAAGACAGCTTTTTCTAAAAGGAAGTAGTGTAGATCTTGATCTCATACTTTGCAGATTAGTAACATTGTCAGTAAAATAGAGGGACAACTGCAGTTTTCGTTAAAAACATCCAACAAAATGGAAGAGCAAAGGGTACTCTGCCAGTTGTCATCAGAACAGTGCAGCAATGCAACACCAGCAAGTATTGCATAGCAAAGGAGAACACATCAGAAACGGTCTTCATCAACACTAAACTGACTGTAACTCTCTGTCCTGTATCACTGCTCAAGGTGAAGAGTGAAAAAGTTTAACAAACAGAATCAATATACACAATCTTGATCTAATTGCATTGCCCAGCCATGGGTAACCATCATACAAAAGGAAAAGGCAAGTAATTCTCACCATGGTGTGATTCCATCAAATGAAAATAAAACACTTAGAGTAAAAGAAAAATATATAGGCAGATTCTCAGACCAATTTCCCTACCATAGTCTTGAAATAATTCCTATTAACAATAGGATGCTAAGCACACACTTAACAGCACAATTTCAAACCTGCATCTAGTCAGTTTTAAATTAGTCAAATTCTGATTTCCCTAGAATTTGCAATGCTGTTAAATAAAAAGCAGGTTTAACTTGTCATCCCTTTAATACTACCCCTTTCTTATCAGTTCAAAATATTGCCAGAACATACAAACTATTCTTTTGCACATCACTCTGTACCATTTTAAGTACAAAATGGTGCTGATCATGTCTTTGTATGTCTACAAATATTTTCTTATCCAATATATGATATATTTCAGCTCTTGTTTCATCTAAGAGCTTCTCTCCTCTTCCCCTCTCTACAAATATTTGTGGTTAATTTGCTTTTCACCAACAGCTCCCTGGGAAGTGAAATGCCACCCTGTACATATTTATGGCTTACCTTGATGTTAAAAAGCCACGGCTTCATAGCATCCACCTCTGCTTGTCCTTTGCTGAGATCATAAACAGCAAGATATAAAGCTCTTTGGGTCATAAAATGAGGATGGGTACTGTAGAACTCTTCTTGTCCTAATGATAAAACATTTCCACTGTTCTCTCATTGAACATCTTCAGATCACAAAAAGGCAGCAGAACACTTATTCTCAGATCACTAATCGACAAATGAAATTCATGCTTACAGCAAATTATCTAAATTGGCAGGAAACCTGTAATAACTATGAATTTTAGATAGGTACTCTGTGGTAGCTCATTGACTGAAGTGTAGTGTTAAAATATGTAAGCTAGTTTTAATCAAGAAGTCTAAGATTTAACAAATGGATAAATATTGTTGCTGCAAAGGCAACTTGAAAGGTTGTGATTCTTTTAAAACTCCAGTATTGAATTTTTCCCTCACCTCTTCCTTCCCTTCCTTATTTCTTCCCTCCCTTTTTCCTATCCTTTCAGCAACTTCAAAATAAGACTCCCAAGTTCACATGATTAAGCACTTGAATTCATAATTGAAGCTGGACATCCAGCTTGAACGCTGTTCTTTTGTGCCTATCCACTGTGATATATGTGATGTATTTAAATGACCATGGACCAATGTTTGAAGCCTAAAATACCCTTGAATTTTAGAAGTGCTCCTGGAGTCGCCCAAGCTTAGAAAGTTTTCCAAAAGCCCAAAGTTCGAAGACTCCTCCTAAGCACTTTGCTTTCTGTGACCTTACAAAACAGTGATAATGGAGAGCCTAGAGACCCAGACTATAAAAGGGAGAAACAGAGTTGAGTGGAAGATTATTCTTCTAGAGATTACAAGCTGTCTCTTACTATTCTGAAATGACAGTTCTAGAGTACTACGGTTGAAACGAGTGGTCAGACCACATTTGGTGATGAGAAATTCCTGAGGCTTTATATTAAATTTGAGGGATTAGCTGCCAATTTACAGAATTCATGAATTTGTAAGTGGTCACTTGACTTTTGATGTAAGCGTGTATGATTCTACTGTCCACAATTCGAAATTTCACAGGCTGACTCTAAGAATAAGTAATGCATTAATGTGTTAGAAAAGACAATATTAAAGGACAATAAGCTCTTGAAATACCTCCAAAATCCCACACATTTAATATAAGCTCTTTCTTCATTTTGCCTTTTCCTTGAATGATCCAGTCTTTTACATCAATGCCTACTGTAGCTTTTGGACAGCCCAATTCTGTTCGTTTGCATTTCATTAGTTGTTGTAGCAGGGTAGTTTTCCCACTGCCAGTGTTCCCAACAATCATGAGCTTCATTCTGTTATAAGGTACAGCCTTCTTCAGTCTTTGTTGAAGAAATCTGGCATAAAAAATTGCAGAATTCACAGAAGTGTATAATAAAGAAAATTATCAACAGAACACAAGACCAAGGAAAAATCTAAAACCATAACATTTTCCACAAATTTTCACTATCTGTTTGATATTACTAGGATTTTAACAGTGTATTCTAATTTCTGATTTGAAAGTTAAAACTTAATTCAGAATGTGTCTTTTTTTTGTTGTTTTGTAATTACCCAAAAATGTGCTCTGTGCAATGCACTTGGGAACACAAGAAACATATTACAAGTAATTGGTAAGCACCACTTTTGTGTGGTTTATAGAAGCACAAAATTCAAGAAGGAATACTATATGCTGGTTTTGGCTGGGATAGAGTTAATTTTTTTCACAGTAGCTAGTGTAGGGATAGGTTTGGGATTTGTGCTGAAAACAGTGCTGGTAACACAGGGATTGTTTTGTTACTGCCGAGCAGTGCTTACACAGAGCCAAGGCCTTTTCTGCCTCTCACACCACCCCACCAGGGAGTAGGTTGGTGGTCCACAAGGAGTTGGGAGGGGACACAGCTGGGACAGCTGACCCCAACTGACCACAGGGATATTCCATACCATATGATGTCATGCTCAGCATATAAAGTTGGAAAAGAAGAAGGAAAGGGGGATGTTCAGAGTGATGGTGTTTGTCTTCCCAAGTCGCCGTTACACATGATGGAGCCCTGCTTTCCTGGAGATGGCTGAACACCTGCCTGCCCATGGGAAGTGGGGAATGAATTCCTTGTCTTGCTTTGCCTGTGTGCGTGACTTTACCTATTAAACTGTTTTCTCCAAGAGTTTTCTCACTTTTAACCTTTCGATTCTCTCTCCCATCCTGCTGTGAGGGGGAGCGAGCGAGCGGCTGCATGAGGCTTAGTTGCTGGCTGGGGTTAAACCATGACATTCTATTATAGTCTAAATCACTATAATCTATTTTAGGTCTATGTGTTGATATGATATGATATGATATGTTATGATACCTTCCATAGAGTAGCTTGCTGGATTTCATACAAAAAACCATCACATCTGTTCAAAGGGATATGTTGTTTTCTTAATGCTTACTGCACATCCCCAGCAAGCAAAACAAGAATATTGAAGAACAACAGGGCAACAAACCTGATAATATCTCTGGCTTTGCATCCCACATGTTTGAAGTCTAAATTAAGATGAAGTCCTTCCAAAGGAAGATCCCAGATTTTGGATAGTCTTCCCATTTCATCTGGAAAGAATCTCAAATCGGGATTATGACTTACATCCAGAGAAGTCAAGTTCTCTAGGAAGCCAATCTGAGGAGGAATCTAAATAAATGAACATTTAATGGGCAATTAAACATTAAAAAAAAAAAAGTACGAGCATGACTACATTAAATATTTAACAAAACTACGTATTATTTTTACTGCCGTAGTTCAACTTTTTTTAATAAACAGGCCTAATATCCCACACTAATAGACAAAGGACCTCATAATTAATTCATTATACAAACTGATTATATGAAACATTCCAGACAGAAAAGCTTAACAGAATATGGTGATTTTCATTCACAGGGAGTACTATGTGCACTTACAGTTTACTAATAGAATTTACAATGATATGAGAGGTGACACGAAAATCAAATGAACTTTGAAAAATTGCATTCAATTGAAAAGCGATTTCATTTTCTTTAGGTAGAATCTTACACTTTACCTCCTTTAACTTGTTGTGGGACAGGTGTAGCTTTTCTAGCCTAGACCATGCACATGCCTTTTCACTCAAGTCCAAGATGTCTATTTGATTATGATTAAATAACAGCTCCCTTAAGTTTAATGATTTCCAGTGCATTGGTCCAGGCAGGCTTACAATCTTGTTTTGGCTTAAATCTACTGATCGCAAACTAAAAACATGAAAATAAAAAAGAGAAACATTAGCAAATGAAAAAAAATAAAACTGAGATTTACTGGAACTGTATTAATTCTTAATAAATAAACAAATGGATTAGAGATCAGAACAGACAGTTTTCTGACAGGAATGTAGATAGGAGATGACAGAGAATTACTACTATGAGCAAAAGCAATTAAGATATTGTAAGTAGGTCTTCATTACCTCTGTTTAGATTAGTAGAAGACACAGATAAATACAGTTCACACTCCTGTAGTGCAAATATTCAGTAACTCAACTGTAAACAGTAGTTAATATACATTTATAGCCAGGTAACAGAGAATAGAGTTTAGCTCAGAATTCCAGTTACAAGTTGAGTGCAGGACCATGGAGTACACTGTTATATGCAACGTCTATCTTACTAGAATAAATACATTTAAAAAGTTAATTGCAATCTAACTTAATACTAATATGTGTTTTCATGTGCTTTTTTATTAATTTCAAATTAAAAAAAAAACAATGGAAAACTTCCTGGTATTATCAACTTTCCAAGAATCCAAGACTCCACTTACAAACTATGGAGCGTCACTATGTGATCTGAACTGCTCTCTTTCTTGCTCCTAATGTAGAGGACTAACATCAGATGGTATGGATACCACATTCTTTTATCAGAATGTTTCTAAGAATATATGTTTGTAAATTCATGTATATGCATCAATTATATAGTTCAACTAAACGTGTATTTAAGAACTACATAAAAAAAGAATATTTCATTTCTGTAAGTCAGCTGTTGGACATATATGCTGTTCATGTTACTGTGGAACATGAAGCATGCAAAAAGTCCATGCAACTCCTTATTGATTTGTCTGGGCTGGGCGATGCAGAACCTGAAAGCTGCACCTTTTTCAGCACATCCATTACATTTGGTGTTGTGAATATAAATGTTAGTATGCTGAAACAGTGTAATATCATGTTAATAATGACATGATCTATGTAAATTTGATTAACATAAGCTCACAAATCTGTGGATTTGCCCTCCCCATGGTGCCATCAGCACTCACATCTACCCACATTTATCAGATAACTGATTTGATCATCCCTACCAAGCACTCCTTCCACAATCTGATTCTAGTGACCTGTTAAGGTCAGTAACTTCTATTAAAAAAAAGCAGAAGTCTGATTTTCACATGAGTAATGCTTTGAAGGTATAGCAAAATAAATGTCACATGCATCTTTATCACAATACCATCTAGAGGAAGTTTCATTCTTTGAGAATAAATATCTTGTGATATTTGGGAAGTGAAAAACTAATCTCAGTAGCTTTGCGCAAAAGTCTGCAAAACTTATTGAAAAGGAAAAAATGCCAATATCTTTTTACTGTTGGTGTCAAGAAAATAAATTCATTCTGATCTTCTCAGCAAGAATTGTCAGCTTCAGCAAACAACATATTTTCAATATAATAATAATAATAATAATAATAATAA